CACATTTACTTAACAGTATTTTATTTTCACTCTCATTTTCACTTTTTTATATTTTTACAATTTACACTTTCATTTTCACTTTCTAATATTTTTATTTACATTTTCATTTTCACTTTGACTGATTTTTATTTTCACTTTTCATCAAAGTAATAGTGAAAATAAAAGGAAAAAAATCTATCAAAGTGAAAGCCAAAATGAATGTAAAAATAAAAATCTATGAATAGAAAGATTTTTATATTCACTTTCGCTTTAAAACAAAAGGAAAATAAAAATCTATGAAAGTGAAAATAAAAGTAAAAATGAAAATATGTTAAAGTGAAAATAAGAGTGAAATTAAAAATATGTCAACGTGAAAATGAGAATGAAACTAATATTCTATTAAAGTGAATGTGAAAATAAAATACTGTTTAATTATAAGTAAAAATAAATTCTATCAAAATGAAAGTGAAATTTAAAGTTAGAATAAAAATCTAAAAGAGAAAATTAAAGTGAAAATGAGTTATAGAGTTAAAGTAAAAATAAGTATCTGTCAAAATAAAAGTAAAAATAAAATCTTTCAAATTGAAAGTGAATGTCAAAATAAATATTTATCAAAGTGAAAGTGAAAATGAAAGTGAAAGCAGAAATAAAATTCCGTAGTCGATCCCTTAGATGGAATATTCCACAGGAATGTTCCTAATGTTCCAATGGAATATTCCAGGAATGTGAATGGAATATTCCAGACCATTACAGAATTTTTTTTTTTTTTATTTAAAGTGAATTTTTATTTATTTATTTTTATTTACTGTCACTATGTAATTAAAAATATTTTGAAATGAAGTAATATCTACTCTACACACTATTTTTGAATACTTAACACTATAGACTCGAGAATTCGAGAAATGTAGATGGTGAAAATTTTGAATAGAAAAATAATATTTTAAACTTGAGCGAAATTCTCTTGAAAATTGTAACGCGCAACTCAGTCTTTAGGCGCGAAACTCTTGGTATTTTCAAATCTTTAAAAATATTGGATTCGTTACACAACAAAGGGTATAGAAACCCAACCCATCGATGAGATCCTCTCGCGTGCAAATCCGGCGGCAACTTTCAAATTAAATTATCTTCAAATTTGATATTTAAAATTTAGAAGAAAATATGAGAAAGGAGTAAAAAGGTCAGTAGAAATAAAATGTAATTAAAATAAAATTATTTTGACTTGTATGGAACAGTTTATTTTTCTGCTGGGAATTAAACTAGCGTTAAAATACAAAAGACTTCGTATGACCGTTCACGACAAGTCCCAAAATCGTACTACCTGTACCGGCTGCCCACGCGGGCCCCGACACTTCCACTTTTTCTACTCTAGGTATGCGCGCGCTGTTCAGGTTGGAAATTTGCCTGGTTCGAGTCGACTCAATGTTTTTGGAATCGTCTCCAATATAATAAGTATATTTATCAATAAGAATATTGAAAAAGAAATTAAGTTTAAACATATTAGCTGGCTGGATACCAGAGGTCTTGAAATGGCCCTGGAAAAGACCGAGGCACTGCTAGTCACAGACAGACGTGGTTATGAGCTCCCACGAATCGTCATAGACGGATTCGAGGTCAAGTGGAGTAAACAAATTAAATACCTTGGTGTGGAGTTGGATGGAAGGTTAAACTTCCACCACCACATGGCTACGGCGTCGAATAAGGCGATCGAGTGTGCGGCTAATCTTTCACGGTTAATGCCAAATGTTGGCGGACCCCGTGAACAAAAAAGAAGACTGGTGGCGAGTGTCGCCCACGCTAAAATGCTCTATGCAGCACCAGCGTGGGCCCCATCCCTGAGGAGTAAAAGATGTGTTACCATCTGTGAAAAGATACTGTCTGCGCAGAGATCGATAACAACGCGTATCATCTCTGCATATAAGACGGTATCTACGAGTGCTGTGCAGGTCCTTGCAAGTGTCCCGCCAGCAGATCTTTTGGCGAGGGAAAGGGAAGAAATGTTTCTCTTTTCTAAAGAAAGCAGTTCCTTGAATGAGGAATTAAGACCAAGCAAGGGCCTGATCCGCAAAGAAGCGAGGCACAGGCTCATAGAAAGATGGCAAGAAAGATGGGATGGTGAGGAAAAAGGTCGATGGACTTATCGCCTTATCCCGGCACTCGCTACCTGGATAAATAGGAAACACGGTCAGGTTTCCTATTATATGACTCAGGCGCTCACAGGTCACGGGTGTTTTAACTCGTACCTGTGTCGCTTTAAATTACGCGAGGACGAGGTGTGTGCATATTGCCAGTTCCCTGAGGACAACGCGGAGCACACCCTCTTCTCATGCAAGAAATGGGACTTGGAGAGGCAGGCCATGTTCGAAGGTGTATACAGTCAAGTTACACCGGAGAACATGGTATCGCTGATGACCCAGTCAGAGGAGAATTGGCGGCAAGTCGAGAACTTCATAATCTCGGTTATGTCGAGGAAGGATCTCGACGGCCGCCAAAAAGCGTAATTTAAACAGCTTTTAATTTGTTTGTTTGTTTTTTATTAATTTATTTTGTGATTTATTTGTCCCTATACATTTTTTTTAATTTGTTTTGTTTTTTTTATTCATCTTTGTACAATTTTATGTTTTCAATATTTTATACGCGTTTATTTTTATTTTTTTTTATATATCCGTTTATAATTTTATCTTTTGACTTTTTAAACTTCTTAAAATTTTTGTTTTTTATTGTTGTTGTGCTGTTAATTCCGCTTTTATATTGAAATAGTTTTAAATTTTTTTAACTATTGACGCAGGAGAACCGCAGACACAGAACAAAGTCGCAGCAGCGATAGAGTTGGAGCGCCTCCCTCGAAGGCTAAAGTCTTACGACAGTTCCGAGGGAGGGTAAAGGGCTCCAAAAGAAGGGTTACGGGTTTTAGTGGGTCGGGCTGGTAGTAGGTCGCCAGTTTATTAAATTTATTATAACATTTATTTATTTATCCTTTTTTTTAAATTCCCTTTTTTTTTATTTTACCAACCCCACATAACCTTGGAGTGCGGAATCCAAGGTATCTGTAAACAGATTTCCCAAAATTCCCTAAGCAAAAAAAAAAAAAAAAAAAAAAAAAGTTTAAACATATTACAATGATTAAAATTAGATTGTTCTTAATATTAATAATAGTAACATTAAATTTATAAAGATTTTTGAATTTGCATCTCTCTATCTATATCTCTATCTTTGTTTCTTCTTGAATTAATAAATGTAAGGAGACCTTCGTGTTTCTTTTAAGAAATCCCTCACTAGCAACAATCATACATCGCACTTGCAACAATCGTTCAATTAAACTCTCATTCTTAATCTAGAATTTCTAGAAGTTTATTATATTTAATTAATCTTGATTTATCTATAGAATTATATGAATTCAATTTATCGCTACGAAATTTTGATTTGATAGAATGATTAAATTTACCAAGTTTGTTTCATTAATGTTGAGTTACATATTAAAAGGTAATTAATTAATATTAAATTTAAGTTAATGAGAAAATGTTAAATGTTGATATTCAAAGGTTCAATTTAAGATTGATGTGATACTCATCGAGTTTCGATAATTAATTGGATAGGTTGCAATTCCCTTTTTTTTAACATTTTATAGTTTTTATTTCTTTTAAGTGACTCTTTAAGCGAAAAGGACTAAGTTCAAGTTTATGACCCAGATGTTTAGGCCTTTGTTCGTAAAAAGGGGCGATCCGAGATTGACCATTGCTGTTATTTTAAGTTTTACTACTTTTACTGCAGGGTTTGGGTTTTTACTCTATTTATTGCTTTCTAGTTCAATTTCAATTTCTATAAAGTTATAAAAAGGATTTGCAACCCGACGATTTCATACCATTCCTTCTAGCTAGCCTAAAATAACAAATTCAAGAGATGAGATAAAAACTGGTTTTCCCCATTTCTGCTTGCACATGTTCTCGCATTTTTCTCTGTTTTAGTTTCTATATAAAAAACGAAAGAGAGAAGGAACATATCTAATAATATTTTATTTTATATTCATTTCTATAGTCAAATTGTCCAACGCGTAATTGTTTGCCAATCAGAATATAAAGGATCATTTTATTATTATTTGTTTCTGTATTCTTTATTTAAACTTTTGCCGCGCTTTCATTCGCCTCGATAGTGCTGTTTTTAACGGCGAATCCGCGAATCTTATGCGCTCGTTACACTTCTCCCCTTAATAAAAAGGCACATCTTTTGAATGTGTCTTTTTCAAAAAAATAAAAAATAAAAATAATGTTATTAATTACCATCAAAGATTTGTTCACGTATACGTGATACATAAAGCTATAGCTTTATGTGTTTTGAAAAAGAGAATCCGATACAAATTATTTCTACGCCGTTGTGGATGCTCTTTAAACGAGAGCGTTCCGATGTTTTCGAGTCTATGTTGTATGTGTTTTGTGGTTGACGCTTGACAGCTGTTCGATAGAATATATATATGACGCAGTAAACAAGGGAAGGATTTGTAGTGTTTATTATTATTTGGCACAATAATTGGAGGAATATTGGATTGAAAATCGGATTTTTATAAAAATGTTAATTTATTTGTTAAATCCCGGGAAGCAAGGTATGTACATAATTTCAATATGCTAAAACGATTTTGAAACATGTTTATAACCTCACTTGTTTATAAATTTAGCTTTGAACCTCTAAATTTGTAAGTCCTTTTATATACCTATATGTCTTTCATAATTGATGATTTTCCTATATTCGACATTTAACATAAATACACGTATATGCATAAAAATTTTTTTTGAAGTGAATTTTAGACGTACCTTAAAAATGCATGTTTGATTCTATTTACGTGAATAATTTTCGTTTGTTTTGGTGTAATTTGTATTTCTACATTAAGGTTATCTAATACGCGCGTGATTTTAAAAGGCCCTGCATAGTGGTCGTCGAATTTGTCATTCCTGATTCCTTCGAGAACATAAACATATTGTCCGATTTCGAAATTACGTTCATTAATTTTTCTATCGTAATATTTTTTACAGCGCACCTTTGCAGCTTCAAGGCGAGCTGTTGCGAGGGACTCCGTTTCCACTATTCTATTCAGGAGTTCGTCTACAAGTTGAATATATGTTAGAGGGATTTTCTCGTCGGCAAATTCGGATGGAAAGCGAGCCTTCCTTCCAAATACGATTTCGTGGGGTGTCAAACCCGTGGATTCATGGACCGAGGTGTTGAAGGAAAATACAGCATATGGCAACCATCGGTCCCAATCGGAGCGCTCGGCATACGAACGTAAGTATTCTACTAATGTATGATGACTTCTTTCTAGGGAGCCGAGGGATTGCGGATGATAAGCAGTTGAGCGAATTTTGCGAATTTTGAACAATTTCGCGATATTGTCCATGATTTTACTCATGAATTGAGCACCTTGATCTGTATGGATTACTTCTGGACAACCAAATATACAGATCAGCCCTTCGACTAATGCCACAGCGATGTGAGGGGAGTCTATGTTTGAGAGCGGGACAGCACCTGAATATTTACTTAGGTTATCCTGCCAGGTCAATATGTACGTGTTCCCGGATTCTGTTGTAGGTAAGGGTCCGACTATGTCAATTTGAACTTTTTCGAACGCCCTGATAGGGGTGTCAGTTATTTTCATTGGCATTTTGGTTTTTACACGCGTCAATTTTCTCTTTTGACATGTTTCGCATGTCTTTACGTACTGCCTAACCTCGTCCCTCATATTTTTCCAATAAAAACGTTCTCTTATCCGTTCTAACGTTTTTGTTTCGCCTTTATGGCCACCGACAGTTGAATCATGACATTCTTTAATTATTTCGCTTCGTTTTTCGATTTCCGGAATTTCTACTTCTCCCGTGCAAACCGTGATTTGAAAATTGTTTTTATTGAAATAAGATCGGAAAATTCGTTCAATTACTGACCAAGGTAATTTATCGAAACCGTTTCCTGTTTGAGAAACGCTGAAAGATGTTATCTTTGATAAGTCGAGAGCCTCTTTCAGCGTTTTCACAGCAGTTTCAATGTTTTTAGCAAACACTTTAGAGTCGAATTTCTCTTTGATGTATAAATTAAATACTAACCGACCCCCTTGATTATTTGATGTAACATAACCTGTAATCGCATCTGGAACTTTCAGACTTAAAGGGGTTATGATGGAATGATCTAACAATTCTCGACCCAGTGGAGTAGTGAGAATACCGTCACACGAAACAAAATTTAAAATATTATCTTCTCGCATCCATAATTTATCTTTACTTAATTGGAATAAAGGGGTGAGTATTGAATTTCGTGTCTCTAAATTATTGTATAGAATATTACCCGTATTTTCAGATTGGCTCTTATCTAATCTAAATTTTCTTTTTATAGGTATTTCGTCCTCGTCAGAATTTTCGTCACAGTCCCGTTTTCTCTTTAAATTTCGCAAGGTGTCTCCGAATATTCCGGTCAACCTTGCCATTTCACTTTCACTTATAACATCATCATCAGTCACGTCATTGAAGTCACACGGACTTCCAGAGGCCCTACGAGTTCTGTTGCACACTCGTCGCACTTGTAGCTCTTGATTTAAATCACATTCCGTTTTTCTTTGCTCCTTAGATTCTCCCTTAGAATCACCGCGTGACCAAATTGTTGGTCCACCGGTTTCCCCTTCGTCCACTATTGACAACCCTTCCGTTTCACTTGGGAATTCATCTCTATCAACAAGGGGAACCCGATCAATAGTGCGAGGTGAGTCTCGTGCAAAATTATTGCCGCAGGTGATTGGGTGCTCCTCTAGGCCTTTGAGTGACCCAACCACAACTGTAAATAGGCACAACTTTGCACACGGCTCTGAAACACATGCATCATTGTTTTCTATGACCTCGCAGTCTTGATAGCTCTCCCGTTCGATAAGATTAGGTTTGGGGTTTGAGCACGCTACCTTTGGCCTCTTTTTATCGTCAATTTCAGTCATGGTCACACACATTTCCTTCTTAGACAAATTTTTACAAGGAACTACACTCTTTTCGTCAATTAAATCGTCTTTACTGTTCAAGTTAGTCTCGTCTTTCTTTTCTTCTATTTTATGAATTATAGGATTGCGTGAAAGTGCGTCTGCGTTTGAATTTACTTTTCCCGGCTTGTATACAATTTTATAGTCACACTCGAGTAGTTTAATTTTCCATCTGGCTAATCTAGAACTAACAGTAGGATCCTTTAATTGATCGAGCCAAACTAAAGAACGGTGGTCCGTCACTAGGGTGAATTTTCGACCGAAAATATAGGGTCTAAAGATTTTTACAGCGAAAATTATTGCGAGGAGTTCCTTTTCGGTCGTGTTATAATTCAACTCGGCTTGATTTAATGTACGAGAAGCATATGCTATAGGCAAATCTTTACCGATCTCTCCTTGGCTGAGAATAGCGCCGAGGGCGAAATCAGATGCATCAGTAGTGACAACGAATGGCTTGGAGAAATCAGGATATTGTAATATGGGCTGAGAGCAAAGAATTGTTTTGAGTGTTTGAAAAGAATTTTCGGTTGTTTCCGTCCACTCGAAATTTGAGTCCTTTTTTAATAACATCGTCAATGGTTTTGCAATTTGAGCAAATTTGGGGATGAATCGTCTATAGTAATTTGCCAAGCCTAAGAATTGTTTTATATTTTTTCGGTTTTTGGGTTGAGGAAAATCTTTTACGGCTTCGAGTTTCTTTGGGTCGGGTTTTACGCCGTCTTCAGAGATAATGTGTCCGAGATATCCTATCTCTTTACATAAAAATCTACATTTATCGGGTTGTAAGGTTAGTCGCGCTGTTTTTAACCGACCTAACAATTTTTCTAACTTTTCGTTATGCTCTTTAATAGACCTCGCATAAATTACAATATCGTCCATGTAAACAAACATTTCGACGCCCTGTAAACCGGAGAGAACTCTGTCCATTAACCTTTGAAAAGTGGCAGGGGCAGTTTTTAACCCGAAAGGCATTCGGTTAAATTCGTATAATCCAAATAAAGTGGAGAATGCAGTTTTGTGTCTGTCAGCTGGGTCGATTTCAATCTGGTGGAAACCAGAGGCGAGATCCAACACACTGAAATATTTTGCACCGCCTAATTGATCGAGAATATCGGTAATGTTAGGTAAAGGATAGGCATCTCCAGTCGTTTTCTCATTAAGTGCTCTATAATCAATGACCATTCTCCATCTTTTGTTGCCCTGCGAGTCGGGTTTTTTCGGTACCACCCAAACGGGTGAATTGTAAGAAGAATTTGAGGGAGAAATTGCGTCATAAACCTTCAGAGTGTCGGTTTCCTTTTCTATTACTTCCTTGTGAATCGGTGGATATCTGTAGTTACCCCTGTTTACAGGGATATTGTCTGTCGTGTTAATTTTATGTTGTATAACGTTAGTGCAACTCAATTTATCCCCCTTTAAATGAAATTGATTTTGAAATTTAGCTATAGTTCTTAAGAGACTTTCTTTTTCCTCATCGTTCAAATTTTCTAAATGCAATTCATTTATTAAATTTTTTAACCGCTCGGAAGTAATATTCGACATTTCGGAAGAGACTTTTACAGTGGGTTTTGGACCTGAACTAATTGTTTCTATTTCTTCCAGGTGTACGGGTGGAATCGAGAGTTCAATGTCTCTAGTGGAGGAGTTAATGCAGTAAACAAGAGCCTTTCCGTTTTTTACGGATACTAGAGATTCGCCTAAAAAAACATCAGGACCTGTCTGTATTAAAGGTAAATATCCTTCCGTCAAACGGGAATTAAAAACGGGTAACGATACTAATTGTTTTGTTCTCGCTTTGAGCTTTAAAATAGTTCCTTTTGAAGGGATGCTGAGATTAAAACTACCTGCCTCATGTTGCATTTGTTTTGTTTGTAGATCGATTACGGAGTTGGCAAGGAAGGGCATACCAACCATACCGTGACCATTAATTGGAAAGTCGTTGGGCACTACCTGAAAAAAACAATTTATCCCGTTGACACGGATACGAATTTCACCCAGCGTTTGCACTCCTTCTGTTGTGATGCCGAATAAACTGTATTTATTTCTCGTATTTATTGACTCTAATTTTTGGACCATTCGATGTTTAATTAAATTTAGTTCCGCGCCCGTATCTATTATAAAGTTTCCGTTACCGTTTTTAAAATCATTGCTTTTCAGATTTACGTGAGGTGTGGTTACTGTTTCAGACGATTGGAAAGAAAGAATCGTTCGTCGGATTGGTGCTGTTTTACCCCGAAGCTCGCTATCGCACCAGTCAAAGGAGCTTACTTCTCGTTTAAATCGTCCGTTTTCTGTTCCCGGTTTTCTAAAGCGCGTCGCAAACGATGGTAGCACTTTTCTTCTACATGGCCCATTTTTTTACAGAATTTGCAAACTACTTCGCTTTTGCTTTTACCAGCGTTCTTGACGTGGGGACAATCTCGGGTAGTGTGGTCGGAACTTCTACAAACGAAACATTCGCGTTTTCTTCTCGATGGTTCTTTACAATCGCGAGCAAGATGACCCACCTTGTTACAATTATAACATGATTTTTGGTCATTCACAACACGAATGCAACCTCGTGCCAAGTGTCCCGGTTCCCCACATTTAAAACAAGAATTAGTCGCGGTCATTGAATCGTTTCCGTTCCTTGAATTAGGATTTTTGTGACGATTTCCCCCTTTTCCCCTTTCGCGATGTTCCCCGCGGTGTCCTTCGACTTTTCTTACATTAGCACCTTTGCCTTGCGGTTGAAATCTGTTTTGAGCGTTTTCGCGCCCTTTTCCCCTTTCGCTCCCTGTTGAATTGTTATTAGTTTCGGTTATGTTTTCAGTAGCTTTCCGATCCAATCCGTTCGCGAACTCTACTTCCCATTCGGCTTGTTTAGCAAGGATTATGGCATTCTGTAAAGAATCAGGTTGCCCTACTCTTACCCGCCACACAAGGTCGCTTTTCAACCCCATGACAAAATTTCCACAAGCTGTATTGCGAGCAGAATTTATCATATAGTGAGCAGCTTCGCTTGTATTTTGGTCCTCGATCAAACCAATCATATTACATAAAATCTTACTAACGCGTGAACCATATTCCATAACCCTTTCGTCCTGTTGTTGTGCTACTGTGGCAAGAGCGGAATTTAACTGACTCAAACTGCAATGTTCCGTGAAATTATGTTTGAGGTGTTGTAGAAGTTCCTCTAACGAATTAATATCGCGGTCTTGGAGAGAATTATACGCGTTTCCGGTTAGCCGTGATCGGATCATTAAAAATAAAAGATGTCTCTCGCTCGCAGAAATAGCATCCCTGGCACAAATGCAATCTGCAATGAATCTTTTGACAGGCATTGACTCGCCGTCAAAATTTTTAGGAAGAAATTCGAGAGCTGTTTTAAATGGAATTGGATTTTGGGGTTCGTTTCGCGGAGGCGCAAATATTCCGGAACTAGAAATACTTGTCCCTGAAACGCTGTTTCCACTTTGTTTGGTGGTGTAATTTTGTACGGGGGGAGATGCTTGAGGGGGAGGCAAATTATTTGTTAAAATTTCAGAATCATAATTTTCAATCTCTAAATCACTCAGAATGTCAGAATCGTTTTGATTAATTTCGCGTGCAATTTTTCTCCTTTTATTTTTATTTCCCTTTTCGGTTCCTCCGCGTTTATTAGTGGTTGTTAATTTACTCGTGTCTCTAATTGTTGATTTTCGTTTCCTTTTTGTATTTCTTACTTCGTCGTTCGAAGTGGTTTTTTCGGCCCTATTCGCATTAGTCAAATTACCGTCTCGTCGTCCTCCTCTACTTCTACCTACAGCACTACGAGTGTTCATTTTATAATATATAGAAAAACGGAATTTAGCAACTTAAGGAGAAATACAATAATAAGTTGATTGGCGAACAATTTTACAATAGAAAATTTTTTGGACAATTGACTTACTGCTTTTGAAGTTCTGGATGACAGCTGATTACAATTTCGACACTTTTAACACTAAGATTATCTCTTCCAGAGAAAACTGACTGTATGTAAATATAATAAAAATTTTCAACACAACACACGCGAATCAGCTCTTCGGTTAATTTCCTCTGCTCACAAGTTGTCGACTCGATAAGGGAATTTGCCTGCAGTGGTTAGAGGGATAACTGGCGGATCTCAAAACCACTGTCTGCGACACTGTAGTCCAATTCACCTCTAGGTTTAAAAACCGCCCAAAAACCTTGAGAAGTTATCGTGGCAATATTCCCGCTTCTGTTGTACCTCGTCTTCTTCTTCTGCTACCACTCGATGTCGTCTTCTTCTTCGCCTTTCGCTGGAACTCGTTTTTATTTTCTGCTATTACTCGATGTCGTCTTCTTCTTCGCCTTTCACTGGAACTCGTTTTTATTTTCTGCTATTACTCGATGTCGTCTTCTTCTTCGCCTTTCACTGGAACTCGTTTTATTTTCTGCTACCACTTGAACTTCTTTTCTTTGCTCTCGCGCACTTGATAACCTTTCGTTCTAAGCTACTAAATTCACTTTTACTAAAAAGGCGGCTCGAGAAGCAAAAATGTCTCTTTTCAACCTTATTTTACACTTAACGTTGAAGTTCACTTTTTTAAAAAATTATCTAATTTCAACTGACCGACGTTCTCTCTCGCACATAAGTTCACGATCCCGGATTTCACTTATAGGATTTCAAAAAACGGCGGGTTTGTGAGTATCCCACTTCTGACACCAAAATTTTCCTGTAACGCGCAACTCAGTCTTTAGGCGCGAAACTCTTGGTATTTTCAAATCTTTAAAAATATTGGATTCGTTACACAACAAAGGGTATAGAAACCCAACCCATCGATGAGATCCTCTCGCGTGCAAATCCGGCGGCAACTTTCAAATTAAATTATCTTCAAATTTGATATTTAAAATTTAGAAGAAAATATGAGAAAGGAGTAAAAAGGTCAGTAGAAATAAAATGTAATTAAAATAAAATTATTTTGACTTGTATGGAACAGTTTATTTTTCTGCTGGGAATTAAACTAGCGTTAAAATACAAAAGACTTCGTATGACCGTTCACGACAAGTCCCAAAATCGTACTACCTGTACCGGCTGCCCACGCGGGCCCCGACACTTCCACTTTTTCTACTCTAGGTATGCGCGCGCTGTTCAGGTTGGAAATTTGCCTGGTTCGAGTCGACTCAATGTTTTTGGAATCGTCTCCAATATAATAAGTATATTTATCAATAAGAATATTGAAAAAGAAATTAAGTTTAAACATATTACAATGATTAAAATTAGATTGTTCTTAATATTAATAATAGTAACATTAAATTTATAAAGATTTTTGAATTTGCATCTCTCTATCTATATCTCTATCTTTGTTTCTTCTTGAATTAATAAATGTAAGGAGACCTTCGTGTTTCTTTTAAGAAATCCCTCACTAGCAACAATCATACATCGCACTTGCAACAATCGTTCAATTAAACTCTCATTCTTAATCTAGAATTTCTAGAAGTTTATTATATTTAATTAATCTTGATTTATCTATAGAATTATATGAATTCAATTTATCGCTACGAAATTTTGATTTGATAGAATGATTAAATTTACCAAGTTTGTTTCATTAATGTTGAGTTACATATTAAAAGGTAATTAATTAATATTAAATTTAAGTTAATGAGAAAATGTTAAATGTTGATATTCAAAGGTTCAATTTAAGATTGATGTGATACTCATCGAGTTTCGATAATTAATTGGATAGGTTGCAATTCCCTTTTTTTTAACATTTTATAGTTTTTATTTCTTTTAAGTGACTCTTTAAGCGAAAAGGACTAAGTTCAAGTTTATGACCCAGATGTTTAGGCCTTTGTTCGTAAAAAGGGGCGATCCGAGATTGACCATTGCTGTTATTTTAAGTTTTACTACTTTTACTGCAGGGTTTGGGTTTTTACTCTATTTATTGCTTTCTAGTTCAATTTCAATTTCTATAAAGTTATAAAAAGGATTTGCAACCCGACGATTTCATACCATTCCTTCTAGCTAGCCTAAAATAACAAATTCAAGAGATGAGATAAAAACTGGTTTTCCCCATTTCTGCTTGCACATGTTCTCGCATTTTTCTCTGTTTTAGTTTCTATATAAAAAACGAAAGAGAGAAGGAACATATCTAATAATATTTTATTTTATATTCATTTCTATAGTCAAATTGTCCAACGCGTAATTGTTTGCCAATCAGAATATAAAGGATCATTTTATTATTATTTGTTTCTGTATTCTTTATTTAAACTTTTGCCGCGCTTTCATTCGCCTCGATAGTGCTGTTTTTAACGGCGAATCCGCGAATCTTATGCGCTCGTTACAAAATTAGTTCATTACTGCGCTCTGTTGCATGCTTCATGAACCAGTAAGTAAAGTGATACATACAGATTTCTATACCATTTGCGCTCAGTCGCTTGTGTAGAATTTCAAATTGTCACATTGAAGGGATAAATTACTTCAATCTTTAAATTTTCTTTTATAAAATAAGAAAAACAATTTTTTTATGTTTTCTTACATTTTTACTGTTTGTAATCAAATCGAATTTATTTTTATTTATTTATATTTATTTTTAAGAATTAAAAATACTTTTTCATCTTAAATATTCAAGTTTTTAATTAATAAGTAAATTTTTAGAAATTAATAAATATATTATTGTAAATTAATAAATAAAACAGTAAAATAAATGCACGCTAACGATCGCGTGAATTCTTCTTCATTTTATTAACTAATTATTTAATAAAAAAATAAACGGGGATAAATATCGAAATTTTTTTTTTTATAATTTGTTACCAATATATTTGTTTTAAAAAATTAGCAATTTTACAATCTTTTCAAAATTATTTTTTCATTTTAATTTTTTTATGATTTCATAAAAAAATTTTTAAAAATAATTTCAAAAAGATAAAAATTTGGTTTCTTTTTTCAAAAAGTGAAATTAATAACAATTTACAGCTATATTGAAATTGTTGTAAATTTTTAAGTGAGTTATATTATAAATTAATTATATTTGTTTATTGTAAAATATTTTTTTATTTAATAGGTAATTTAACAATTAGAAGTAATAATTAAATCAACAATTATATAATTATCGAGGTTCAGTTATAAATAATAAATTTAATTATTTGTTTAATTATAAATAATATTGTTATTGGTTTAATTCAGAATAATTATTGTTGCATTATTTATAATACACATAATAAATACATCAGTGCTTAATTAAAAATTTTTAATGACAATCAGACAGCAATAAATTATACTTAATTATAACATAACATTAATTACAGATATGTATGTGAGTAGATAATTAAGAAATAATTTATTGGAAAACTTTAAATTTAAATAATAAAATTTATTAATTAGAATATTCTATTAATCTATTAAGTATTAAAGTTATTGGATCGTTATGGTAATCGGGAGCAGAATCGATAATTGTCACACTTATCAAAAGCTATAAACTTTCGTCAAAAGCTATTAAATTTAAGATATTGTTATCACCAGGTGAACATATATAAGTAAAATTAGCGGAAAATTATATAATATTAATATTATTATCTCTATGATTATTATTTCTCAATAATTAATTTACTTTTTTCATTTTTGTTTCAGGTAAGAATTCAAAATATGTGCTTCCATGTTTGATCTTCTCGGTTAAATCTCACGAGTATTAATTAAAATATTAAATTTACTTGCTGCAATGTGAGTATTTTTCTTATTAATTAAAATAAGTATTAAGAATTTTATTATAATTAAATTTAAATTTAAATTTTTTCGAATCTTCGAATATGTGGTAAAATAAATCAAACATCTTTTTGGTATTTTAGTTTGCTTTTTTGCAATCATGAGAATTATTTATTTAACGAAAAAATTGTCATGAAATTAAATTATGTTATTATGTATAATTTTATTTCGACTTTCACATTTATTTTCACTTTAATAGATTTTTATTTTCCTATTCCCTTTTTAACTTTGACTGAATTTTATTTTAACTTTTATCTTCACTTTCACTTTGATAGATTTTATTTAAACTTTCATTTTCCCCTTCCATAGAATTTTATTTTTCATTTTATTTTCATTTTCACTTTGATAGATTTTATTTACACTTTCATTTCCCCTTTCATAGAAATTTATTTTGAATTTTATTTTTACTTTCATTTTCATGTTCAGAGAGTAAAAATAAAATCAAAAATAAAATTCTATTAAAGTTAAAATGAAAATGAAAGCAAAAATAGGTTTACCTTGAAAAATTTTTATTTTCTCTTTATACTAAAAAGAACATGAAAACGTAACTTAAAAGTGAAACTGAAAGCGAAAATAAAATACTGACAAAGTGAAAGTGAATATGGCTGTAAAAACGAAAGTGAAAATAAAAATCTATGGAAGTGGAAATGAAAGGGAAAATAAAAATTTGCTAAAATGAAAGTGAAAATAAAAAAAAAATTTTATTAAAGTAAAAAAGAAAATGAAAATAAAAATTTGCTAAAATGAAAGTGAAAATGAAAAGGGAAATTAAAATTTGTTAAAGTGAAAGTGAAAATAAAAGTAAAAAATTAAAATCTTTCAAACTGAAAATGACAATGAAAGTCGAAGTAGAAATTAAAGTTACATAATCGGAATCAATTTATTGCTACATTTTTATATTCATTTTGACTTTCACTTTGATAATTTTTTTTCCTTTTATTTTCACTTTCACTTTTACTTTTTTAGAGAGTGATAATAAAAATCTGTCAAAGTGAAAATGAAAGTGAAAATAAAAATGGTAGGTGGTCACTTTTTCTAAAAAATATTTTCTAATTATCCTTTTTGTCTAAAGAAAGCGATTTCTAATGAAATCTGTTTTCTAAAAATGTTTTACTTTCTAAAAATTTATGATTTCTAATATTTATTTTCCTAAAATTTATTAAAATTCAATAATTTTGAATTTTTAATAAAAGTTAGAAAATTCTGTTTGCAGAATTTTATAATTTCTTTATGAAAAAGAAAACAAATTTTTATAAAAATACTATTTCTTATCACAATTTGTTAACAAAATTCTGTTCTTCTCTGAAAAAAAAATAATTAGCAACATTTTTATAGCAAAATTTCCAGAATGAAATTGAAAGAAAGTCCAAGTGAAAGTAAAAATTTACTTTCGTTTCAGAAGTAAAATATGCCAAAGTAGAAATAAAATTGAATATGAAAATCCATCAAAGTGAGAGTGAAAGTGTAAATAGAAATCTGAAAAAGTCGAAAGTGAAAGTGAAAATTCGTCAAATGAAAATAAATTATAAATGAAAGAGAAAATATGAATCTAATCTAATGAAAATAAAAATCTGATAAAATGAAAGTTAATATGAAAGTGAAAATTCGTCAAAATGAAAGTAAAAGTAAAAATGAGAATTTAAAAATTTTAAAAATGAAAATTTACATTTTTACTTTTACTTTCATTTTGACGAATTTTCACTTTTATATATTATTTCATTTTATCAGATTCTTATTTTTATTTTTATTTTGTTAAAAAATTTACATAATTTTTATTTTTTATCATAATTTTTTAACTAAATCTCAAGCAATTTTTTAAAGAAATAAAAAATGTTTGCAAATTTTTTTTTTTTAATCTATTGATCGTTATTACAAAAATTGAATATTGTTAGAAAAAATAATTTTTGATAATTACCTTTATTAGAAAATGAAATTTTTAAAAAATGATCTTTATTAGAAGAAAGAAAATTAGAAAAACACCTACATTAGGAAAAAGTTTTTTAGAAATTCACTTTTATTAAAAGAAAATTTTTAGAAAATAAAAAATTAGAAGATATGTTTTAGAAAAACTGTATTGAAAATGAAAATTTTTCAATATGAGAGTGAAAGTGAAATTGAAAAAAAGTCAAAGTGAAAGTGAAAATTTACTTTCATTTTAGAAATAAAAATATCTCAAAATAAAACTAAAATTGAATATGAAAATCCATCAAAGTGAGAGTGAAAGTGTAAATAGAAATCTAAAGAAGTCGAAAGTGAAAGTGAAAATTCGTCAAATGAAAATAAATTATCAATGAAAGAGAAAATATGAAGCTAATCTAATCTATTATGAGAATGAAAATAAAAATCTGATAAAATGAAAGTGAATATGAAAGTGAAAATTCGTCAAAATGAAAGTTACTTTCATTTTAACGAATTTTCACTTTCGTATTCACTTTCATTTTATCAGCTTGTTTTTATTAAAATAAGTAAAAATTAATTTTCATTTTTACTTTTACTTTAATTTTGACGAATTTTCACTTTCACATTCACTTTCATTTTTATTTCACTATTCATTTCATTTAAAATGAAAGTGAAATTCTCTCTAAATGTAAATAAATATACAAATGAAAGTGAAACGAAAAGTGAGAATGAGAATAAAAAAAAGTGAAAGCAAAGTGAAAGTGAGAATAAATATCAAAATCTTCCAATTTTTTCCAAAATTTTTTTCAATTTCACTTTTGAAAGTGAAAATAAAAATGAAAATTCGTTAAATTAATTAATTAACATTATGGGGCATTCTCCGTCAGATTTTTACTCAAAATTTTTTTTGTATTAAAACAATTTTTTTCGAATTTTATATGAAAAATAAGTAATTACGTGTTTTTTTATTTTTTTATTTGATCAAAATTATAAAAGTTATGATTTTTTTAAATTTAACATCTTCGGAAGCAAAGGATTTTTGAAACACTTTTAACTCCGTTATACCAAAAGATAAAAAATAATGTAATATATATGAAAATGACTTGTTTTTTCTTGAATATTTCAAATATGTAATAAAAAATAACTTTAATAAAGCGAAAACATTAAATAAATTGAAATTTCGTCAAAAATGTGACTTTTCTCAAAAGCGAAGTAATTGATTTTCGATTTTTTTCGTCCATTACAACCACTGATAAATATAGAAATTTTTCCCACTTATGCCAAAGTGGTGTTCTTTAGGGTTCAAATTATATTTAAAATTATGTCAGTAGTTGCACAGAGTTTTATTCGATTTTTACACTTTTTAAAAATTTAACCTTCAAAAACAAAAGAAAACGAATGTTTAGTGGTTAATTTCTTTATTTCCTTCTGTAAAATCTGTGCAACGACTGATATAATTTTAAATATAATTTGATCCCTAAAGAACACCACTTTGGCATAAGTGGGAAAAATTTCTTTATTCATCAGTGGTTGTAATGAAAGAAAGAAATCGAAAATCGATTACTTCGCTTTTGAGAAAAGTCACATGTTAGACGAAATTTCAATTTATTTAATGTTTTCGCTTTATTAAAGTTATTTTTTATTACATATTTGAAATATTCAAGAAAAAACAAGTTATTTTCATATATTACATTATTTTTTATCTTTTGGTATAACGGAGTTAAAAGTGTTTCAAAAATCCTTTGCTTCCGAAGATGTTAAATTTAAAAAAATCATAACTTTTATAATTTTGATCAAATAAAAAAATAAAAAAACACGTAATTACTTATTTTTCATATAGAATTCGAAAAAAATTGTTTTAATACAAAAAAAATTTTGAGTGAAAATCTGACGGGGAACGCCCCTTATAAATTAACAGAGACGGTACTAATTCCAAATGAGAAATGACAAATGTCTATAACGACAAATAAAATAAAATCAACGGTTTAATTGAAAATGAAGGGAAAAATTTTTTATTGAGAGAGAAATGATGTGCGATGGGTAAAGAGGAGGCGATTGGCCACCTTCATACTTCCGACACTCGTGACTCTCCTGAGAAAAGCTGACGTTTTGCTTACGTGTAGAAACTGAAAAGCAGCAGCAGCCCCACCATCACCACTTCTGTATCTTATAATATAGATATAGATATAGATTTATCCCGAACCAACTCTCGCAAGAAATTACTAAAACTTGACCAAAAGTCTGACATGTTTCGCATTCGCAAAAGTTTATAAGAGACGGATTTCATATGTCCTTTTATATTTATGTAATATACGAATCCGTCGCAATTTCTATAGAAGATTCCTCATTATATTTTTGTATCCGGAACGAAAATAAATTTAGTGAGCAGTCCTAATTGAGAAAAAAAAAATTTTGCCGGCTGTCGTACTTTTTATATTTTGTCATGCTTGCCATCGCGGTCAGAAATGTGAAAATGGATTATTTTATTTTGTCTTTCACTTTCAATTTTAAATTCAACTTTGACTTCAACTTTGATTTTCACTTCCACTTAATAGTGAATTTTGATTTGAATTCTGATTTTGGGTTTGAATTTGACTTCCATTTTCACACTCATTTTCTTTTTTACTTACTGTCACTCACTGTCATTTAAATTTTGCAATTTATTTCCAATTTTATTTTCAGTTCGAGTTTAATTATTTTAAATTTCCGTTTTCACTTTCACTTTAATAGATTTTTATTTGCACTTCCATAAATTTTTATTTCCATTTTCACTTCAAAAGATTTTTATTTTTACTTTCATTTTAGCAATTTTTTATTTTCCTTTTCATTTTCACTTTCATAAAATTTTATTTTTATTTTCACTTTCATTTTAGCAAATTTTCATTTCATTTACACTTTCATTTTAGCAAATTTTTATTTTCCCTTTCATTTTCACTTTGATAATATTTTATTTTCATTTTCAGTTTCATTTTAGCAAATTTTTCTCTTCCTTTTTATTTTCACTTTGATAAAATTTTATTTACATTTTTACTTACATTTTCATTTTAGCAAATTTTTTT